AATATTTTCGAACCATTCAAAAAAATATTAAAAAATTAAACCACTGATATATATTTCATACGAGTGATTTCAATATTTTGTCAAACAATAATAAATACAAGTTAACAGATAATAAATTTTGTATTTTTTTATGAAAAAATAAACTATTTTTGAAAAAAATTGATGATACAGTTTATAATATTGCAAAAATGGATATATTTATACCACGACTTGCTAGTTTTTGCAAACAATAAAAGAAATATCACATTCGTCAAACTACAAAAGAAGAAATATATTATTAGAATTTAAAACTAATATAATTTGTTTTGTTACATATATTATTAGTGTTTTGATTGCAAACAATAGAAGAATCAAATTTACAAGTCATATTATCAATTCGGAAAAATATTCTCCGTTTATTATTAAAGGAGTAAGTTTTCAATGTTCTAACTAGATTATAATATATATGATTTAAAAAATGATACTTTATTTAATTTCGGACAAATAACATATTATTTTGATCTAAAATAATTGCAATAATATCGTAAAATTTGCATATGAGATGATCTAGTAATAGAAATCTATTGTTTTATAAATACACAATTGATGTTATTGGTGAAACGAATGAAAATGTGACAAGCTTCAATGAAAATGAAGTTTGGAATTTGTTAGAGAGCAGGGGATTGGCCGAAATAGTAACATATATTTGTCCTTATAACAAGAATTTAGTCAGAGAATTCTATGTTAATTTGCCTAAAAGAACAACCATAGAAGATGATATCATATACCATCGAGTGTATGTGAGAGGCAAATTTTAGGAGTTTTCACCTACTTTGATCTGTAGAGTGTTTGGAACCCCTGAACCAAATGAGACATATCTGACATTGAACAAGAGGTAACACTCACCGGGCTGTATGATGAACATCGAGATGGACAGATCACAGTTGCTCAACTACTGTACGAATCTACTTTCTTATACAAAGCGGCAAAGACCAACTGGGTGTCATTGGAAAAGACATCATGATAGCTTCTCCAGATGGAGATTACTGCAAGAAGACAAGCTCAGAAGTACAAGAAGATCGGGGTCAAGTTTGACTCTCTGCTTCAAGGTTCTCAGAGTAATATCTATCTTCCTCATCTCTCTCTCACAATGATTATATATTCATTGTTATAGGATAGTTTTGTTTCCCACTCACGTACACAAGGGGAGAAATGGCTATAGATGAAGATGAAGAAGAAGTCGCAGGTTAGGAGGGAGAAAGTGAAGGTGAGGCTGAAGAAGATCCTAAAGAAGAACCTGTTGAACAAACATGTATAAGCACTGCACAGGTAAAGACAAAGAGAGTAGATGATATTGAGTGTGGAAAAAAAACAAAGAAGGACTCTTCGTGACTCGTCACGTGACATTGAGAGTCGTGGAAGGGTTTAGCTAATATTTTTTCTCTGATCTTGATTTTGGAACTTGATGATTGTGTGTGACTTCTAACTATGGTCGTTTTACTGTGTTGATTTGAAGAAAATACTTGCTTAATAGGATAAATTTGTTTATGCTCTTTCTAATATTTCTAATCTTAGTATGTATGAGTAATGAAACAAAATGGGGGAGATTGTTAGGGTTGACATGACTCTAAGTCATTGTGATTAACTAAAAGACTTGTATGAAGAATTTGTGTCGTGTTTAACGTGTGCAGGAAATGCAAAGTTCAAATAAATGAAGTTGTTACAAAGATTTGTGGAGATTTGGATAAAACAAAGTACACAAAGATTAAAGCCATGGGATTTGGATGAATACGAAGAAGATCTACACAAAGATTGGAGCAAACTTAATCAAGTTTAGATCAAATCACGAAGATTAAATCTGCAATACGTCTACACATCTATAAGAAGAGAAGCTTGGAGCATAAAGAGATACACACATTGAAAGAGAGTTTGAGAGAGTTTACTTTATCTAAGATCATTTTTATTGTGATGAGTGTCACTTGAGAGCGAGTGAGCTGCAAATGAGGGGAATTCGAAAGTGATAATTATGGTGAAGTTCTTTAAGGGAGTGTGGAAACACTTGGGGTGCGTTTTGATGATATAATTCATGTTGTAAAAGAGAACAAACTCAGGGGTAGTTGTGTTCGTGGGTTGGATTAAACTCAAACAAAAACGAATTGTAATTTACAATCTTTATAAGTGAATGAAATCAATGGTTTGTTAAGAGGACGTATTTGCTAACTATAGATGTCAAATTGGGTTGGGTTATATGGGTTAACCCAACCCAACCCAATTATTATTATATTTGGGTTATTGTTTTGAGTTATAATTGTTTTATGGGTAAAATAGGTTTTAACCCATTAAATCCATGGGTTTAATGAGTTAACCCAAATAACTCATTAAACATTACATTAGTTTTGATTAAATAAAATATTAAAAATGTATTTATAAATAAAAGCAATATATTTATATTTCAAAATAAAAATTCAATTAATTCAAACCAAATATAAAAATAATAAAAAAATCGATTTTTTTAAAATGAAAATTTTATAATAAAAATCGAATCCGAACCAAAACGAATCGAATTTTAAGATCAATTCGATCCGAAAAATGGATCGATTCGATTTGAATCGAAACGAATTGATCCGAATCGAATTCGGCTAAAAAAGGATTGATTCGATCCGAAATGAATCAAAATGGATTGATTTTATTTTAATTGAATTCGACTCGAAACGAATCAAAATGATCAATTCATGTCGAATCGAATTCGACTCGAAACGAATCAAAACATATCGATTCGATTCGAAACAAATCAAAACGGATTGATTTGATCTTAATCGAATTCGACTAGAAAAGAATCAAAACGATCAATTCGATCCGAATCGAACAAATTCGACTCGAAACGAATCAAAACGGATCGATTCGTTGAATCGATCAAATTGATTCGAAATGAATTTGAATCGATTTGAATCGAAATGAAGTTAATTTGAATCCTTTTATTTACATATATTATTTATTTTATTTTGTGGGTATTGATATTTACATAATTTAATATATTTATATATATATATTTTGGGTAATTTTCTTTATTGGTAAAAAAAATTATAATTTTAAGATATTAAATTATATATATAAAATATCTTTTTAGTATTTTAAAATTAGAAAAAAAATTTCTTTTTAAATCATAAAAAATAGAATAATAATCTAATTGAATATTTTTTTAATCCTTGTTAGTAAGGATTTAGAATATTAAAGTGATTAAATGGGTTGACCCAACCCATTTAACTATTATTATTGGGTTAAACCCAATCCAAACCAGTAATTTATTAAATCCAAATGGGTTATGTCCAAATGGGTTGGTTAACCCAATATCACATTATTATTGCTAACTTTTTCTAACTCCATCCACAAGTTATAAATATGTGTGTGAAGATATAGTATAATTTAATTAAAAATTGAGATAAGCGTCTAAGTTTATCTATTTGGATTTTACTCTCTAAGCAATTGTTTAGTATCCATGCTTAATTTATGGACAAAACTTAATTGTCAATCTCATCCAAAAACTACTACGTAATCCTATAATTGGTTGGTTGATGACACATTAAACATGGATCAACTATAAAGGGATGATGAATTTTGGTGTGATAATGAGGAGGGAGTTCCGAACAGGTTGAGAATTTGAGTTCAACTAGTTGGATAGATTCTGAATACTTGTATCTGATCTCTGGTCGGAATGTGTTGAGATGACAAGTGTTGAAGTGAAATAGACGTGGAAGTTCGTGTCAGGGAGTCTCTTTGATAACTCGAGAAATGGAGATACATGACCATGAGTTAACCATGGAAACATCAACACTAAGACTCTTTCTCTTACCTTTCTCTATCTCTCTCTATTCTTCTTGTTGGGAGGAAGAGGTGTCTGAATTATGCAATGAAACCTAATAGGTGATGGAGTGATAAATCATCTTTGTAAGAATATTCCATGTGGTTGGATTCTCCATCGCGAACTGTCCATGTGCGCGTTCGGATTCTCTATTACATTTTATAAAAGGAGAAAGTTAGCATGTACCGTCGTCGTCATCATCATCGAGCCAATATAATAATAGCAAAACATGTAATTTTTTATATATATCTCCGACAATAAACAACAGTGATTTCAACTCAGTTTTTCAAGATATTTGTAGGAAAATCATATTTTGTTCTTCTATAACCAAACGGTTAATTAATTTTATTCGGTTCGGTTTGATTTGCTTTTTTCTACTTAAGACTATAACCAAATTTATAACCAATTAAAGATCTGGTTTGGTTCAATTCGATTCTGTTATAATATTTTAAAAAGTCAATTCATTTATAATAGAAAAATATTCAAACAAAATATAATATAAAATATTATCATAATCATCTTAACATATAAAACAATAAAATCTAAATTCTTGATATAAAAATAACAAAATAAAATATTACACAAATAAGTATTCTCTTCTCCAAATGATTATATCAAATAAACTTTGAAAATAATAAAATAATGATAAAATAAATTTTAAAAATAATAAAATAATGATTAAATTAGAAATATATATGTATATAACTTTATATATATATATATATATATATATATAAATGGGATGTATAAATAGTTCTGTTCCGTTTAATTATATCAGGTTTTAAAAATTCATAATCAAACGGTGATTAAATTTTAATTGATTCGATTCGTATTCGGTTATTTCGGGTTTTAAAACATCATAACCAATGAATTATTCGACTTGTTTCGGTTAATAACCAAAATATATTTATTTGATTCGATTTGGTTAATAACCAAAATAACCGAACCAAACCCTAATTTTATCCCATCTCACAAAATGTTACTGTCAGTTTCAAACTTGCAAAACCCACCTCGTAACTCTTGTCTCCGAATAAAAAAAAGGCGGTAACTTTACAGAATAAAAAGTGAAAAACTGCAGATTAGAGCCTCAAATCTTGAGACCCAGATCGTGGATTCAAAGTTCATCGCCAACCCAAAACCCTAATCAGCAAGCAATCTCTTCGTCTTTTACCTGGGGCTTCTTGGAGGAAGTTTTCCTTTCCATTACTAAACCGCCCAAGCAAGGGAATACTGTTGGGCCCAAATACAGAAAGCCTTCTTTCCAAAAAAAAAAAACTTTTTTTGTTTCCTCGGCAAAAAGGTACCTTTTTTTTTTGTTCATCCACACGAGAGTAAACAAGCAGCGTAGTTACGTGTTGGCTTCTCTTCAGAAAATCTGGGAATCGCGTCTCGCGATTTTCTTATCGTATCATCGTCGCTAAATTTCCTGCCAAAATTCTTCTTCTCCTCCTCTCGAGGAGCATTTCATTTCGCCGCAAATGGACAACAACGGTGAGATTGATTCGTCTCGATTCAAGTACTCGATTATGAAATTCGATATTGTTCTTTCTTTCTTTCTCTTCCTTTTTTGGGTTATTCTCTTCGTTTTTTGTTAATGGGGATGATTGCATCAAGGAATGGAATTTGACGATATGATTCTTGAGAAGCGAAAAGCTTACAGATTCGAAGTTGGCATCAGTTTTTTCAGTGGATGAGTTGAATTTGAAATACCCATTTGGTTTCTTCGACCTCACTTTTCTGTAGATTTATGATCCTTCAATTCCTAAAGAGTCTTAGGTTTGAATTGTTGAAGCTTCTCTTGTATTTTAACGTTCATTGCAGATGTTATTTTCTTGAATCAGTTATGCGAAATTCATGATATCGTCGAATTGTTACCTTTGGATTCAATGTGTATTACTTGGAGTGAAGTGTAATAGCCCTAAGGCACTTCAAATTTCCGCAGGATCTCAAGATATTGCTGTTCCAGTAGAAGGAGTGGCTGGTGGAGGAACGGCTTACGGTTGGAACGATGGTGGTCTAAGCTCGGAGCCACTTAGACAGTCTCTGGACCCGACAGAGGTTCCGACCGCTGAGTTGGTGCATGTCTGGTGTATGCCAAATACCGCTAATGTCGGGCCACAAGAAACTCCTCGGTCTTTGGAGCCTGTAAGTGTTTTATTGGTTTCTTTGAATATCCTATATGCTTGAGACCACAGCTCCTTTACTTGCATTCTGTGTGATCGAAATGTGTTTGAACCATCTGTTAAATAAGATCTTGGCGAATAGTCCAGAAACAGATCAAAAGGAAAACTTGTCTATGGCAGAGCAGATTTTCCAAAGGGGCATAGCTAGTGTAGATATTGTTTGTGAACAAGGGAGGAAAACCCATGTCCTGTCAAAGCCACTGATATTTCGGCCGAATGATATCTTGTCTCCCTTGCTATGTACCGTTTGTCAATTTGGGTTTTGATGGAATGAAGAGCCTCTATAGGTATATCAGGTATATGTGTTCTTATTGTCCTACAGATAGATCTGTTGGCAGCTAGGAATGAGAGAGAGAGTTTTCAGATTGCCATACGTCCGAAAGTTTCTTGGTCTGGTTCCACCATTGCAGGGACTGTCCAAGTTCAGTGCAATGACTTGTATTCTTCATCTGGAGATCGGTAAGCTTTTTTGCCCGTGTTCTTGTTTCTTTCTCATTGTTCTTCAAAACCTGGGAAGACTGAAATATAAATGGATCATCTAGCAGATGAAACGGATCTCTTCTTTCTTGGCGATGTAGCTTGATACCGATATGATTATGCTTATTTTAATTTTTAACCATTGCAGATTATTTGTTGGCCAGTCATTAAAACTTCGGCGTGTGGTTCCTGTCTTAGGTGTTCCTGATGCTCTGGTGCCCCTTGAGTTGCCAGTTAGCCAACTTAGCATATTTCCAGGGTACTGTTAGCACTTACTTGATCAATCTCTGGAAATATTACAATCTTATTTCTGGGTACTGACGTTGTCTGGGTTGTTGCAGAGAAACTAGTGTCATATGGGTTTCGATAGATGTCCCAAATGGGCAGCCTCCTGGTCAATATGAAGGAGAGATTATAATTTCTGCAATGAAGGCGGATGGAGGGTGAGTCTCCCGACTTTGCAAAATTCACACTCTTCTACTTTAGGATGCCCATGTTTCTGGATGGTTTCGATGTTTCATAATGAAATGCACAATTAAACATGGCTTTGACATGCTGATGAACTATCCGGTCTTTTTTATTACAGATCTTCGACTCGCTTGGGAAAATCTGAGAAGCATCAGCTGTGTCTTGAACTTAAGAACTGTCTTGATACCGTGGTGCCAATAGAGGGAAAGCCCATGGATGAAGTGGTAATTTTACACTTTCCCTGCTGTTATTTCCTTGACCTCATCCCTCTTGGACATATTTTTTTTGCAAATAACCTTTAACTTGTCTTTTAGGTAGAAAGAATAAAATGTGCAAGTTCGTCATTAAGAAGAATTCTCTTCTCTCCATCATTTGCGGAGTTCGTTTCAGATAATGGATCCATTGATATGATGGAAGAAGATGTTGTATCAAACCTTGCAGTGCGTGTAAAGTTAAGATTGACAGTTTGGGAATTTATTCTTCCAGTGACTCCATCACTCCCTGCAGTAATCGGTGTCTCCGATACTGTGATTGAGGATCGTTTTGGTGTTGAACATGGAAGTGAAGAATGGTACAAGAAATTGGATCTCCATTTCAAGTGGCTTCTTCAATACCGAATCAGTCCATACTTTTGCAGATGGGGTGAAAACATGCGTGTGTTGACATACACCTCGCCATGGCCTGGTAGCCTAACAACCCGAACTGAGAATTGTTCATGCATCATCCTCTGTATATGCGTGCATCATGACCCGATTTCCTGATTCACATTCCACTATATGGTCTTGCAGCTGATCATCCTAAATCTGACGAGTATTTCTCTGACCCGAGGCTTGCAGCTTATGCAGTACCATATAGACAAGTCATAACTGGGTATGCTCGGTTGGCAACCTTCTCTATCTTCTGTCAAATGTCTTAATAACTAAGCTAACTTAATAACTAAGCTAACGGAATTTTCATCTGCAGCAGCGATGATTCAAGGGAAAGTTACCTGCGGAAAGAGGTTGAGATATTGAGGAGGAAGCCTCATTGGAACAAAGCCTACTTTTACTTGTGGGATGAGGTAACTTGGTATTTTTGAATGAATCTCTTGTATCTTTCCATAGCCAGTGGGTGATAATGGACAAGTTGTTCGTTTTTCTAATTTATGTATGCCTTTTAGTATTTACTCTACTTGTTGGCGGGTTTCTTATTAGCGTTCAAAACTTTTGGCAGCCACTGAATATGGAGCATTATGATAATGTTCGCAAGATGGCTAGTGAGATTCATGCCTATGCCCCGGATGCTCGTGTTCTAACTACGTACTATTGTGGTATGTTTTCCTTCTTTCAGGATTCTCATTTATTCTATGTTTGTGACTTAAATTGTGCTTTTTTTTTTCCCCTTAGTAGCTCCTTTCCATTTGGGTTTTCATGATTTTGCCTTCATGTTGCGAGAATGTCACTGTATTATACGTCAATCTAGAAAGCATAAGCTAGTTTGCGGTTAAGATTTAAGCATTTTACGTTGTGGTAATTTTGTTACACCGTTACACCTTTGCATCTGTCTGATTGTTCATGAGATTGAACATATGCTAGATGAAATTATTGATGTTTGATGTCTCTTTTGTATCTACATATCCACATGAACCAATGTTTGGCATTAACAATTTTTTCCATTTTATAGGGCCGGGCGATGCACCTCTTGCTCCAACCCCCTTTGAGTCTTTTGTGAAAGTTCCAGATCTCCTTCGACCCCACACTCAAATATATTGTACAAGGTATTGAATACGATTCATTTCACACAATTCTCTTAGATATCGCTAATTCGGTTATTCAAATTAGTAATGAGTTGCTCTATAGGTAATCTTTCCAGTGGATTATATTGAGTCCTTACTCTTGAAGTGTGGATTTCCGTTATGGGTGCTATCTTTGTTGTGTTCATGGCTAATGAAAAAGACATCTAATTGGTTCAATCATCTAAACTGTGTGAAATTCACCTTCCTCCGTTGGATGTACATGCAGATGAGTTTAGTATATAAATCTATGATTTTGGACTTTAAGATTGATCTTCGCGATAACTTTTTATCTAAATATTTCTCTTGAGCTGAATGCGGTATCTAATCATGCAACTTTTGAATATGATTTGTGGGTAATGTCCGGTAATGTCCAGTGAATGGGTACTCGGCAATAGAGAGGATTTGGTCAAGGATATCGTTGGGCGGCTGCAGCCAGAGAATGGTGAGGTAAGTTCTCCCATAAACCTCATTGAAGAGTGTCACTTAGCGGGTTATGGTACATCCAAATCTATGTGTGATGCTGTTTTTTTTTACGCATTCTGGAAATATATTTGGAACGAAAATTCATTAGAGGAAGTATTCTTCGCTGTTATACAGGAATGGTGGACGTATGTATGTCTTGGGCCTTCGGATCCACACCCGAATTGGCACCTGGGGATGGGCGGGACCCAGCACCGTGCTGTGATGTGGCGTGTGTGGAAAGAAGGCGGGACGGGGTTCCTATACTGGGGGGCAAACTGCTACGAGAAGGCAACCGTTCCCAGTGCCGAGGTTTTCTTCCTGTTTTCTCTAATGTATCAAGTCCCAACTACAAGCCTTTTTGCCCAATTCTCGGGTTTGGATTTAGGGTTTTAGGGCTTAGCGTCTCTAATGTTGTTCTGATTTTGTGTAGATAAGATTTAGACGTGGTCTTCCTCCTGGCGATGGAGTTCTGTTCTACCCGGGTGAAGTCTTCTCGTCCTCTTCGGAACCCGTTGCTTCACTTCGCCTGGAACGGCTTCTAAGTGGCTTGCAGGTACGATTTATCCGAGGGGAAACACTCTCTTTCATTCGGAATGGAGAAAAAGCATTTTTTTGGGTTAGTTGATACTCGTTAGGATGAATTGCACACGATGAAACTATTGGAAACATAGCCGGAGATTAGGAAAAACGTTTCTCGCTGATACCGCCGCCCTTTTTATTGCGGGTATCGGATCAGGATTTCGAGTACTTGAAGCTGTATGCGTCGAAATATGGAAGAGAAGAGGGACTGGGATTGTTGGAGAAGACGGGCGTGTACATGGGACCAGAGCGTTACGCACTCGAACACCGACCCATCGATCTCTTGCGCGGTGAAGTTTACAACTCTTGCAGGCCATGAGAGCGTATAGTTTCGAGTTCATTGAGAATGTGGCTACTGCAATTACTTGTAAGCTCCCTTTATATTCGAGTTTACTCTTGTATCTATTTTACCAATCAATAACATATATATATATATATAGAACTCATAGTATACCATTCATGATCGCAGTAAGTTCTAGAGGAGATCATTCGGTTTCGGTTTGATTTGGTTATATATTCTCATTCCATTATTTCGATTTTAAAAGAAGTATATTTATATATATACACATATATTTGATTTTTATATTGGATATAGTCTGTGATTCTGTTTTTTTTATTGATTAAAATATTTATTTTCTATTCGGTTTTTCAATCACTTCGGTTTGATTCTTATTTGGTTATGTCGGTTTAGAAAGATGATATCATTTGGTTTTTATATTGAATTCCATTTGAATACGATTTTATGTTATTTGGTTTGATTGGTTTATATTAGTAATCGGTTATTTCTACTTAAAAAATTCTGTACATTTTCGATATTGACATTGCAAACGGTTTGAATTTGGTCCAAATTCAGTTTTTTTTATTGATTATAATACTTATACCTTAAATAATTTTTAATTTTTTTGTCATTTTATTTTCATTTCAGTTCAAATTTAGTATTTTTGTTTTAGAAAAATCATACCATTAGTTTTCATATCGAAATACGTGTTATTTTTTTTGTTAACCGGCGATATCTTGGTCCGAGTCGAAAGTAAGATATATAATTGGAATTACGCTCTCTTTGTCGAATTCAGGGCGAGACACGTTTTGTATATTTTTTTTATAAAATCAAAAATATGTGTAGAAATATAAAATTGCATAAATTAAATAAAAAAAGATAAATAAAAAAACAGAATTATTTTTATTGCTACATTTTTGTTACGTTATAATAAAAATAATTCATATATTTATAGAAAAATTAATAAAAAAAATAAAAAAAATATAAAAGTAAGAGAAACAAATATGATATACAATATTATGTTGTTTCTTATTATTGAAAATAATATCTCAAAATCTATATTTTCTTTCAATCGTATATTTATTTTCCTATTTCAACATATTGTTTTCGAACCGAATCGAAATTCGAGATACCCATCTCTAGATTTGTATATTCGTTTTATCGGTTGAGTTATTCAAATTGAATACGAAAATGCGTGTTGTGTGATAATTGAAGAATATAAAACTAATTAAATTCAATAATATGCGGAAAAAAAGAAGACAAGAATCAAATGTCGTGATCTATGTCCGTAACATTAGAATGGACATAGGGCTCTACAAGTCGACCATCTCCATCGTCAAATGTCGTGATCTATGTCCGTAACATTAGAATGGACATAGGGCTCTACAAGTCGACCATCTCCATCGTAGACATCAAGATTCCCGCATGGTCGACCATCTTCACCGTAAATATTATAGAAAATAAAATAAAAACAGCAGAAATATAAATAAAATGCTAATAAATATTATAGAAAATATTCAACCAAAAACAATTACTATAGAAAATAAAATAAAAATGGGAGAAATATAAATAAAATGCTGTGGTGTGCGAATGAACGGAACGGTCAAGAAAGGATATCGCAGCGGTCAGATTGATTTTCCAGAAGGACAAGAAGATGCTGCTGGCTGCTGCGACCTGTCATCACCACGTTGACATAATATCGTCAGCGCGTATGTACACGCGCCTATACGCGTTATGAGACACGTGTACCAATATCAGCCGTTAGATCCTTCCCCAAATCGAATTTTCCCTACCGCGTCGATGGATGAGATTTGACGAGTCGGTTTCTTCATTCAATGTTTTTTTTTCATTTTTAGAAAAAAATATAAAATAAATATTCTTTTCGTCGAAAGTTTCCAAACACCCAAAAAGGGAGAATATCTCCGACCCGCGCTTCTTCTATAAGAACCATTCGGAGACGAAGCGTCCTTCACCGAGAAATCGAAGAAGAGAAGATTTGTTTTGCGAGCTTTGACTGAAGAGAAATGGCGGCTGAAGGAGAAGTGATCGCTTGCCACACCCTTGATGCCTGGAACGAGAATTTCAAAGCGGCCAACGAATCTAAGAAATTGGTAATTTTGTTCTATCCTCTGTTATCTGGATTCGTTTTCATGTTTTTTCTTCGTTTTAGCTAGGAATTAGGTTTTGATGAAAACGATTGGTGTTTTGTCTGAGTTGATTCCGTTTCTTAGAGTTTAGGGTTCCATACATGGCCTTCGTTCCTGGGCTTCTGCGGGTTTGAGATTTTAGGGGTTTTTTAAAATTTATTAGGTTAGAGAAATAGGTCCAACATGTGATCTGCATATGGTTCATGAGAAAATAATCGAAATACGAGTTTGTCCCGATTTCGGTTTCTAATCGGATTTGGGTTTGGTAGGAGATTTGTAGAACTCCGATCGTCCGGTAACGAGGCTGAGGATCTCAGAGATTGAAACTTGGTTTTTGGAAAACTTTGAGATTTGATGATATGATGTCGAAGGATGCAATTTTTCTGGCAATTAGGCATACGTAGGATGCATCTGAATATATCATATACAAATTGGTGGATCGTGAAACTTACTCGGATCTCTGGCTTCTGAATTCATAAACTGTGCATTAACTTGGTTCATTCGGTTGGATCTATTCGTTGTTTCTTCTGCTACAAAACCCGTGAAAGAGGGCTCTTTTTCGTGTCTATATATGTGTTTAAACACCGTGTTTTTTATCCATTTCATATGTGATCGAAACAGTTCACATCTTTATTGATTTCTGATCAAAATGATGAACAGGTCGTGATAGATTTCACAGCTTCGTGGTGCCCACCATGTCGTTTCATTGCACCGGTCTTTGTGGAACTTGCCAAGAGATTCCTCAATGTAGTGTTCTTCAAGATTGATGTTGATGAGTTGCAGGTGAGGGTCCAATCCCTAATCCCCGAAACCCTTTTCCATCGAAAAAAAGTACCGAGAAATGTAGATACAGACGTATAAGATTTCGGGTTTTGCCCAAAGTGATGAAAATCTTATCTTCTCTCACAGGATGTTGCCAAGGAATTCCAAGTGGAGGCTATGCCGACATTTGTGTACCTGAAAGAAGGGAAGGAAGTGGAGAGGGTTGTCGGTGCGGACAAAGTGAAGATCGAGCAGACGCTGAGCAAACACGTCGCTACTGCTTCGGCTTGATCGATTCTGCGTCCAAGGAGACATAACAGAAGCAAGCTTGTCTTGCTTTTCATAGTCTGTTTAATTATGTTGTCCTAATAATAATCTGCTTCTTCTGAAGCAATCTGCTTTGTTAACTGTTTCTTGTTGTGGTGGCTACTCTTGTTTGGATCTTCAGAGATTTCTTTGTCAGCTATTTGATCTTGCACTTGTGGTTATGTAATGTAAACCCTTTTTTTTTTTCTGGTTTTAACTTCCACAATCTCATTTGGTGATTTCCATGAATAGAGAAATTTAGTAGGTTTCTATATTTCGATTTGGTTATTTAGATTTAGAAAAATTATAACTGCTTGGTTTTTATACTGATAATCTATATTATAAATTTGAGTTTTGTTCGTTTAAAATTTCTATAGATAAAAATCATATTTAAAAAAAAAATATTTTTTCATTTATTTTTTTTATTTTATTCGTGTTTTCTTTTTTCAATTTTTTAAAAAATTATAATCATACCGGACTTGGTTTGATCACAATCATCGATTATTAACTAAATTGTACAATGATATATCAACTTTTTTTTTTATAATTTTTTTTTGGTGTTCGTACAAGAGATCTAATTGACCGTGATCCGGTCAGATGTATAGGCCTACAATGCATCACACCGAACAATATATATTATTCAATTTTATTCAAAATCGAATTTATTGAAAGTATATAAATTTTCTAAAACATGAAAATCTAAATTCAGACGAAATATAAAATATATTCTTATAAAAAATTTGAATCATAAGTTAACCTAAAGAGTTTCAAATTTTCAATAACCGAATCGAACAAAAATCCGAAACATCGATTCTTAACAAACTATACACGTGTACCTCCACGTCGAGAGAGAGGCCACGTTTCTGAAAAAAAATGCACGGCCGTATCGTAACCATTTCCACACAGTTTATTCCATATTTTAAAAATTATATTAAATAATTATGTCTATTATTCGGTTTGGTTTGATTCTGTTTTGCATACGGTTTAATTTCGATTTTTGTTAAAAAAAAATTAGATTTTCTTAAAAAGTTTGGTTTTTTAAAAATTTTATAAAGTTCAGTTTGATTCGGTTTCAAAAAATTCGATATACCGTTCGAAAATTTTGAATGATACGGATCTGAAAAAAAAATCGAGATTTTCGGTTCGATACGGTTCGGTTTTTCGGAACCGAATCGAAAAAATCTCTGGTTTATAAAAAAAATGATATACATAATTTTATTAAAAATTAAAATGTAACACGTTGAATGCGTTGGGATATCGACAGACAAGTGGTTTACATTTGTTAGAAAATCAAAATTATCTCTAAATATAATTTATTTATTTTAATCATTTTTCTTTCTTTTAGAATTTCTAGCGAACTCAATAATTTTAAGTTAGAGAATTCTGGTGTCTATTTCGGATTTTGGTCCTAATTTGATTCCATTTTTTCGGATTTGAAAAAATTATAACTGTTAGGTCTTTATATCGAAATCGATTAGATTACATTTCACGTTTCAACATTTATCATTGCAAACTGATTCAATATTATACCTTTTGATGCCTTCCGATTTAAATTAATTTAGATTTAACTTTTATTGATGAAATACTCATTTTCCAAAAAAAAAAAATACTTTTTTCAACTATCTTTTCAACCGTTTGATTCGGTTCAGATTTTCCGGTTTAAAAAATCATAACCATTCGAATTTCGCATCAAATTCGATTAGATTACGGTTACATATGATTCAGTTTCAACATTTATCACTGCAAAATGATATTCAAGATTTTTTTTTTAAAAAAAATTGATAAATAGATTTCCTTACCTTCACAGACATTCATTCTAATCCTAACAGCACGAGCAATGCTTATATCCCAAGAAAAAAGGAACAAAACACAAGCAGAAGAAGTTGAAAATGTTGTAATGAAGGAGATCCAATCAGTTGTAACTCACTGATCTCCTCACAAGGGACACTCCGGATATGTCCCCGCCCAGCTCTTCCAGCAGAACCAGCATGTTCCCTCTCGGCTTCAGCCACGACCTCGGGACATGATACCTCCACAAATCGAAAAAACGAAACGAAACGCGACGTTTGTCAGCGAATCCAGACAAAAGGGTAAGGGTTCGGGTTCGAACCCGAGCCCTCAGGTTTTCAGAACAGAGGCATTTACCATCTCTGAGTAGGTTCTCCACAACCGCTGTGGCACTTGCTCTGCCTGTATGTCCCTTCGTAGCTGCAAGCCCCGCAGTCTCCCTTTGCGTAATCCATCCAATACCTCCCTACGTTTTGCCCGTTGATCCAAGCTTGCCCTTTTCCCATGCTCCTCAGATCCAACGCTACCGGCTCGTTTCCCTTTGGCCCGTCAAAATACGCCTTCGAAACGTCCCAAAAAACCCGTTTTTTTAACACAAGAAGTGTCTACAGATGTTAAGAGTACTAGCCTTTCGATCTCCGGGAGTTATATCACCTTATACCACGTCAATGGCTGCCGACTTTGCTTAGCCAGGGAGCCTCTGATCCATTCAACGGGTGATGTAGCCGTGGGAGATACCAAGTTCAGTGCCTCTCCTTTCAGACCAACCTGTTTCTCCAAATGGGTTTGAACATGTTTTTTTTTGTTTTAAACATTGGATGATAAATCTCAATCTGGTGTGTTCTGTAATGAATTTGTTTCTTTCACCTGATACGACCATTTCTGCCAACTCAAGTCTCTCTTTCCCCTCCAAGGATATTCACCACT